CGCAGCCTCTGCAGCGCCGGTTCGATCCCCAGCTGCTCCCCGGCCACCGGGGGAGGGTCCCGCATGGCGCGCAGACCTCTCCTGCCGCCCGCTGCTCCCCTCAGCAGTGTCCTTCGGTCCTTCTGCCTGCTCCGCTCCCCGCTCTGGCTCTGGTGAATTCTCTCACCCTCCCGCGCTTCTGACTGTGCCCAGTGCATGTATAAATAAATACATAAATCTTTAAAAAAAAAAAAGACAAAACATACTCTAGTGCATAAGACCTTGGACAGGAACTTTAATACAACTATGCAACAAAGACAAGCAAAGAATATAGTTACCAAACCAAGCACCTGAATTTAGCCGTCCCCTCCTGGGTAAATGCCCAGCCAGACAGGGCTGGCCCACAGCAAGGCCCAAAAGCCTGCCCCAAGTCTAAAGCACCTTCTGGGGGCGCCCAGGGGGAAGGGCGGAAGTGGCCCGGCACATCTGGAAGGAAAAGAGCAAAATCAGCATCAAGATAAATGCGGGTTGTCACCTCCCCACGGCCTCTCGCCGTGTCTGTTCTGCCAGTGCAGGACAAGATGCCAGGGCGGTGTCTTCAGGCGTCTCTGCCCCTGGGCCTCCTCCAGGCTCCTCCCCCCTCCTCCCTCTCCAGCGCCTCTTCTCCCCGCGCAGCTCCACCCTCCTCGGGTCGGGCAGGGAAACAGGAACCCCCCGCTTTCCCCAGGACCCCCCCTCTCACAAATGTGGGCAAACAATTTGAACAGGCAGGTCCGCTACAGAGACCCGGGCATGACTCACAGCCACACGGGAAGATGCGCGGCCTCCCTCGCCATCGGGAAAGGCAAATCCAACTCCGCGAAGACACTGGACTCCCGGACACCAGGATGTCTGCCCGGGGGTGTTGGGCAGGATCAGAGGGTGGGACTCAGGTTCCGGGGGGATGGGAGGTGGTCTGGCCACTGTCTTGGGACCGCCCTGCTAGTGCCCATCTTTGCTTACGTAACCCGCCTGCCCTTGAGCGCCGTCTACTCTTTTTTCCAGCCTTAGGTGCCCGAGGCCCAGCCTGCTCCAGAGCCCCTGTGCCCCCGCCCTCGTCCCGAGACCTCTCTGGGTCGGGCCACTGCCTGTGCTCTTGTAGCTGCCGTCTGTCACGGAGGTTGCTGGTGTGGTGATGTGTTTGGGGCGTTTGTTAGATGAACCACGGGGACATCTCCATCTCCGGGTGGGCTGGGACTTCAGAAGTCCGGCCTGATTCCCCCTCAGGTGAGACAGGCAGGCTGTGGCCGAGGAACTGCCTTTCCTCCGGGAGGTGAAGGTCTGAGGGCCTGTCGTCCTGGGGGGCGGCCTTTGGTAGAATGTTCTGGGTATAATCATGTCACAAGATGCCCTGCCCCCCCCCCCCCCCCAGGGATCTGTGTCACGTCTTTACTGTGAGGACCTGGAGTCACAGGAGGTGAAACTCAGAAGGTGTAGCCTGAGCGTCCCGCTCACACGCGCGTCCCCGCTCGGCTGAGAGCTGTGTGCAGGGAGGCGCCCTCCCAGGCCCGGCAGCCTTTGCTCCGAGCAGGTGGCTCTGACGGTGATCTCAGCTCTCTGACGTGGCTGAGGAGTCCCTCATTTTCAGGTTATTCAGCTTTTTCTTGTGCGCAGGGGAGTGTTTTCAAGCTTTTTCCATGTCAGAGCTGGAAATGGAAATCAGCACAACCACGCTGGAAAAAGCTTGGCGATTTCTTTATAAGTTCAGTGCACGTTTGCGGTGTAGCCCAGCTCCTCCGCCGCCAGTGTTCACCCACGAGACAGGACAGGCGCCGCGCGTAGCCCTTGTGTTATAATGCGCTGCTCCCACGCGTGCGTCCGGGCCCCCCTCTGAGCACCGGACCCCCCCACGGGCCAGACGTCAGCCCACGGGCAGCTCTGCGAGCTTTTCAGGCACCGCGGGCACCTCAATAGCATCGACTCTGCTCCTCTCCGGCTGTCCTGTGTCCGCGAGCAGGTCTGCTCACTGGAAGGCGTCACGGCGCCCCGGTCCCGCGCCCTGGCCGGCGGATTCACCCCCACGAGCCCCGCGCGGCTGCCGCCCTGGTGTGAAAGCATCACCTCGCGAGGCTTGTCTTTCAAAAAATCGTGGAAAGACCACACCCCTCGGCCGCAGCCCCTTCCCCGCCGCCCCCGCTCCCGGGCCGGCAGCGCCAGAGAGCATCTGCGTGTCGCTTCGCCCGCCCTCCCGCGCCCGCCGCGGAGCCCGTGGGCCGCAGCCCGGCCGGCGTTCAGAGGCCATTAAAGCAGGAAGCACGGCGGGAGCCAAAGAAACCATGAAGCAGTGAGTTGGAAAACACTCTATGAAAGGCCTTTTCAGGCCGTGTCTTTCAGGAGGAGTTTGTTTTTGGATTAAAGGCGTTTATTCAGGTATTCACAGATGCCCAGACCCTCCGCACCAGCTGGAATGTGGAGCGCCCGGGCGCGGGCCGACGGGGAATACGGGATGAAAGAGACGTAATTAGGTGACACACCTTCCGCGGAGATGAAAGGCCCAAAACATCCTCAAAAACAGGCCGAAATAGACCCTGAAATCACTGCTTTCTTTATTTGGGGAGCACCAGCCCCAGCAAGAGGCGCGGTGCCAGGGGCAGGCCGCACGTCCGCCGCCACGGCGCTCCCCCTTCCTTGCCCCTCCGTCCCCGCCACGGCAGCAAACGGGCTGGTGCCCCCCCCCCAGGCCCCTGGCCGAGCCGGGGTGTCAGCGGGCTTCCCGGGGGAGGAGGACCCAGGCGTCCACAGCAGGCGTATGGGGGCCCCGCCGGCTCCCCACCAGGGATTCTCTGAGCTGTCCGAGCGGCCGCTGCGCCCACAGCCCCGATGGCCGCCTTCCGAGAAAGCAGACGCAGGTCGGCCGCCCTCGGGCAGCTCCCGGCCTCGCCATTCCCCGCCAACTGCACGCAGGCCAGGCGGCGGCAGGTTGGGGCGAGGAGGGGCTTCGAGCCCGGATCAAACACTGCACTCCTCGTTCTCCGCGGCGCAGGGTGACGGCGGGAGGGCAGGGCCCCGCAGGGTGGGAATCGGGGGGCGCTGGGCCCTACTGTTCCAGGGGCGCCTTTTCAACGTCCTCATTCGTGGGCGTTGACCGGGCTGGCGCTGCCGGCCTCGGGCGCTCATTAACACGTATTTAAATAATTACGGAAAAATCCACATTTTATGCATCCTGAAGCACGCTGACCTCAGGGGTTTCTGCAGCTGGGCCTGAAGTGCCCTCGAGGCCCCTCCTGTGGGCGCTGACCACGCCCTCGCCCTCACACCTGCCTCCCTGGGCCCCGTGTCGGAACCGCTCCCACAAACACTCGGCTTGTTCTTCCTCCCTTGCGCGCGCCCGCTCCTGGCGAGCCGAGAGCAGGCTGAGTGTGCCATTGAGAGCCCCGGCCTGCGCCGCCGAGTGGGGTCCTCCTGCTGGCGTGACTTCCCCAGCGCGCCGGGGAGGGGCGGGGGGCACGGGGTGGGGGTGCTCGGGAGCCAAGACAGCGGGTAGAGCGCGCAGGAGGAGGCGTGTGTGCGCGTGTGCGTGTGCAGGCATGTGCGCTCATAGTCAAAGGTGGAACCACACTCCTTCACAGGCTGTGCTTTTTGTGGTCACATTACATGACACCCATTTTCCTTGCCGGTGCATCTAAAGTGAGCTTGACCGTATTCTGTTGTGTGGGGGCTGCTGGGGGGCCGCGGCGCGCAGGCCGCTGCTCACTGGCACAGTTAGCACTCAGCAGACCCTCGCGTCCAGGCCTTTCCAATGTGCCTGAGCGCTGGGCACGGACCCGCCAGGGCTGTCCTGCGGAGGACAGGTCTGCAGTCTGCACCTCACAAAGGCTGGCGCGTTGGGCATCGCTCTCAGGAAAGGTGGGGGGGGCCGGCTCCCGCCGCATGGGTTAGAAGATGCCCGCGCCTCCTGCCCACACCAGCCCTGTGTCTGGGAATATGGAATAGCCCGTAGACTGAGCCACAGAGGGCTCGGGGGCCGGGCACAGGGAGAGGGGTGAGGAGGAGGAGGGCTGGGCCCAGAGAGCAGGGCCCCCTCCCCAGCAGGCAGCGTCCACCTTCTGAGGGTCTCGGGGGTCATGGTGAGGCTGGGGTGTTTCTTTTCAGATTCCTTGGCAGCCATGGGAGGCGTTCTGCAGGCATCGGGGGGGGGGGGGTGCTAGAAAGTACTTTAGTCCCCCCTCCGCCTGCCCTGGCCCCCTCGGAGGGTTCTGGGTCTCTCCATTCGCCCTGCGGTGGTCTACTCCGTGACCCAAGAAGCAGGAGGGACACCCTCGCTCTGTGGTAGAGGGGCACCCTGCGATGTGAACCCCCCTGCACCCGGGGCAGCTGGAGTCATGCCCAGCTTCGGGGAAAGTGAGGCAGAGCTGGGGGTGCTGGCAAGGGCTGGGACGGCCCCTGCTGCAGCCTCTTCTCTGCGTTCGCGATAAGTCTTCACGATCCGTTGCTCTTGTTTGTCCTGCGTCATTTCCTGAGGTGCAGCCCTGGACTCAGGCCCCCGTAGGCCACGTGGCGCTGTGCACATTAGAGCCCCCCCGGCCGCGCTGCAGGTGCACGCCCTGGTGTGCACGGGCCCTCTGGTCCGGAGCTCGGCGTCCTTGTGCAGTGCGCAGCCTGAGCAACAAGACGGGGCAGCCCTGAGCAGTGGTGCTGGTCTGAGGACCTGCTCAAGGCTCCCTGCCCCGACCAGTGGTGCATCTGTGACCCTCTGTGCCGTTTCTCCTGCCTTGAATTCATTTGCCACTCACGCATCAAACGTTTACTGATTTGCCCACGGATGGGTGAATGGCCCAACCAGACGGCGATGCAGCGTCATTCAGCCTTTGAGAGGAAGGAAACTCTGAGTCGTGCAACAGCTTGGATAAAGCTGGTGGAGCAAGTCAGTCACAGGAACGGCGGCCGGTGTACGCACTGACCTTGCGAGGCCGCCGGAGTGGTCGGGTTCATGGAGACGGCCGGGGCGGGAGGAGGGGAAGCCGTGCCTAATGGGCAGAGTTTCAGTCCAGGATCTTGCGGAAGTTCTGGCGGTGGCGGTGGTGGCGGCTGTACGAGCGGAGGACAGACGCTCTGTCAGAATAGACGGCGACCGTAGCCTTAGGCGGTGACTCGACAGATGGGCCGGGAAGCTCAAGGGCACGCGGAAGCCAGCCCCGGGCGCGGGCGTTGGCAGGCCCGGGGCAGGGCAGCCTGTGCCCGCAGAGGGGCTGAGATGGCGCCGGTGTTCCGGAAAGCGGCACGGACCTCCCCGAAAACCTAAAGGGCGTCGCGGTGGGGTCCAGCAGCCGCAGCTCCAGCATCTGCCAGAGAATAGGGACGCCCCCCAGGGCCCCGCCCCGCAGGGACACGGGCTTGTGCCCGGCCGCCAGGTGCCCTCCTGTGCCCTCAGACCGCGGCGGGTCATGGCGAGCGCCCGTCCACCCGCGGCTTCCGCTGGGGTTAGGGAGGACGGGGCGTCGCCCGGGCCGGCAAAGCAGAAGGAAGTCGGGAGGTGCCGTGAGACAAGCGATCGGACAGGTGTCGGGCGATGCCGGCTCCGTCCGCGTCGGAGGAAACCAAGAGGCGGACAGACAGAGCGCCACAAAAATAAGGCGGCAGCCCTGAACACCGGGGTGCGGTTGCGAGCGGGGAGGGGGTGGGTGAGGGATGGGCAAGGATAAGGCTGGGGCAGCTTTTGCTTTGAGAAAGGCGCTTCACCCCTGAATGTGTCACCAGCCCCTCCGCGGCCCCACAGCATCGCCCCGTAAAGCAGAACCGAGAAACATGTGACAGGCACTTGCTCCGAGCGGCGAGGCCTCCTCACCACACGGGGATCCCGGCGCGGGGTTCAGGGCGGCCCTCCCCCCGCGAGGCCCGGCGATGAGGGGGACGGCAGGGCCACACGGCGGTCGCTGCCCCGCCCAGGCCGTCCCCCTGCAGACAGACGGTGTCACCTGCAGAAGCCAAAAGGTCACCCAGGGGACACGCCGCCCGCGGAGGCCGCCGGCTGCCAGCCTGTCAAGGTGTCGCGCTCAGCCCGGCGGCAGGAATGCGGAGGGGTGCGGCCTCCGCCCTCAGAGCGCGTCGGCTTACGGGCTTCAAAGGCGTGACGCCGGGAAGGGTCCGAGGCAGCAGCGCAGACAATGCCCGGGCGGGATCAGGACTATCGTGTTGCACCCTCGGCGTGTGAACGGGCGCAGCGGGGGCTGGGGGGAGGGAGCCGCCGGCCCCAGCCGGAGGAGCCGCCGAGGTTGTGCGGGCAGCCCTGGGCCAGAGCGGCCGCAGCCCCGGGCAGGAGAGCCGGGCGCCAGGGCGGGCAGGAGGAGCAGCCCAGGCGGGAAGAGACCCGCGTGGGCCCTGGGCTTTGACTGGCGTGCCGGGGAAGGAGGTGGAGGTGGGGAACAGGCTCCCCCACCCCGGCTTTCGTCGTTCTCGCTCCAAATCAGAGCCCGGCCGCCCCGTGAGTCTGCAAGGGCCCCCCGGACCCGCCGCTCGGCAGCAGAGCACAGAGCGGGCTCCCGCCGCAGGCACCGGGGCAGCCCCTCCTCACCCCCCTGCTCCTGCCGCTGGGACCGGAGGCTGCGGGCCGCTCTGGACACCGAGGGCACAGGCCGCGGCGGGCCTGGGTCAGGGCGATCCTGCTGGGCAGCCGCTGCCGGAGCCCCGGGCGCACGTGGGCCGGGGGAGGACGGCGTGAAGGGGCCCCGCAGAGGCCGGGCGGCCAGGGAGCTCTTGCGTGGGCTCATAAAGGGCCTGTGGGTTCCGCGATGCGAGGTCACGTCCTGGGCTGCGCCCCGGGGCAGGCAGGCCTGCAGCCGACCGCTGCGGTGGCCTCAGGGGCGAGGCGGGGGCCACGGGCGGCTCTGGGGGCGCCGAGGGCAGAGGCGAGGCCGTCAGTGAGTGTCCTTTCTCTTGCCGTCCGGGCTCGGCCAGGGCCTGCAGGGTGAGCGGGTCCCCATGACGCCAAGCTCCGGGCAGGCCCCGCCTCCCCGGACCCTGAGACAGGGTGCCCGGGGGGAAGCTTTAGGGGAGTGTCTCCACCCCCCCCCACTTCCTGCACTACGTCACCCCGGCTGCTCCCCTGCCAAGTTGCAGCGAGCAGGGCCGGGCAGGGTCCCGCGGACGCCACTGCTCTCGCCTCCATCCCCTCCCGGCCCCCAGCGGGCAGCCGTGTGCAGGAGAGGGCGCGGCGAGGTCAAGGGCTGCTCTGCCGCTGGCGTCGCGGGCGGCGGGTCGGGGACGGCCGGCCTGGGCATCTCGTCCTCCCCCGGCAGCACCCAGAGCGGGCGGGCGGGAGGGCTCCTGGCTCGTCCAGCCAGCACAGTCCCCTTAGGGGTCGTGGCTGGAGCTGGGGCAGAGGCCCCTCCCCGCCCGCTCTCCCCTGGACGCCCGGGCCCAAGGTCTGCGCTGCTGGCCCTTCCCCGCCCGCTGCGCTGTGACGCCCGGGCCCGGCTCTGCTCTCCGCCCCACTCCTGTCCCCTGCGCTCCACGGGTCTGGGAGGGCCCCGAGCACGACGAGCTTCAACCTGGCCGCTGGGCAGATGCGCGCAGAAGCCCTAACGCCCGGCCGGGGCCATCACCCACCTGGCGCTCCCAGCCCTGGCAGCGAGGCGGGGACACGCCCGCGAACGGCTGTTGACACTGGGGCGCATCCCCAGGACGGAGCCTGGCCAGGCCAGCGCCAGGGCCTCTGCTGGGCGAGGGGCACGCGCGCTCCGGGCAGGGCGGCCGGGGCAGCCCGAGGGGCCCGCCTGGACGCTCCCATGGGCAGGACGATGGGGGACGGAGGCTGCGGAGCCCCCAGCGCCCCCAGGGCCCGGCCTCGTTTCCTCGCGTGCTGGGAATCCAGGAGCGGGGGGTGTTTTGTCAAGACATCTGAAGAAAGTATTTTTACGGCAAACAAGTCAGGCTATTCATGAGCACGGCCTCCGGGGCACTGCCCCCCGCGGTGCCCGGGCGCTGACTCCACGGCCCGCCTCGCCCCGCCTGCCGTGAGGGCGTTCGCTCGGGCACCGCGGCTCTGAAGCTTGTTTTGCTCCCTCTCCCCAGCCGCCGCCGCCGGGGAGCAGGGGACACAGAGCGGGGGGGACGCGGATCGGGGCAGCCACGGACCCCGGCTGCCGATGAGCCCCGGCCTCAGACCTGGGGGCCGGAGGGGGTCCAGGGGCAGGCATGGTGCCCTCCATCCTGCACCCAAGTGCCCGGTGTCTGAGCCAGGAGGTGGGTGCGAGCCTCGGCCCCGGAGGCCCCCGACGCTGCTCGCTCTCCCGCCAGAACCTGCGCGGCCGCCCCTCCAGCTTCAGGCCAGCGCCCCTTGCCCCCCACTCAGGAGTGGACGCAGCACCTGCCCCATGGTCGCCCCCTCCCCTCAGCCAGACTTGCTCGGCTCCTTCCCCTCCTCCCTGGCTCAGCCTGGAGACACAGTTTGCTTCCCGTTCACGCCGGGGTTCTGTGTCCAGCTGCGGCCAGCCGGCTTCAGAGGGCAGGGCTGGGGCACATCTGTGTGTCCAGCGTCTGGAGCGCCACCCGGCAGAGCAGGGTCTGATGCAGGGCCAGTGACATGCTTGTGAGCATGTGTGAGAATGCATGGGCGTGCATGTGCCCTGTGTGTGTGAGCATGTGTGACCTGACGTGCAGCACACGGTGCCCTCGGGCTGATGCCCGCGCCAGCCCGCTCTCCCCCTGCTCACTTAGGCGCTGCCCAGCTCTTTGAAGAGCGGATCATAAACCCCCATTGCCAATGAGAACATGAGCTCGGAGAGGCCACGGGACTTGCTGTCACGCAGCGAGGAGGCAGGTGTGGGGGCTCAGGACACCCACATTCCCATCTGCCCTCTGCTCTGCCACGCCAGCTGGCCCACCGCCCTCTGGGAATGGCCCGCGGGTGTGCCACCGGCTCATGGCACAGGGGTGCCCTGGAGGAGGGCTGCCCTCACCCCACTGTGGCGGGGCCCACGGGGGCCTGCCCACCGCGCTGGCGTCGATGAGAGGCCGGCGAGGCCATATCCTGGAACAGCCACGGCCATTTCCACGTTGGTGGCGACGCGTGGGGCCCATTTCACACGTGACGGTCACTGAGGGCTGGGCGCTCTCGCCGCGTGACCCCGGGCCTTGGTGGCTGGGCCAGCGCCGTGGACTTGCGGAGAGGGTGGCGGTGCTGAGGACCCGGCACCTGCGGAACGCGGCACCCGCAGGCCCAGCCGGCTCTGGCTTGGGCGGACTTGCTCTGTGAACCGATGAATTTCCAGTGGACAGTGGCTGGTCCCGACGCTGTGCCCGGCCTGTGTTACGTGCCCACGGGGACACCCGAGCTGGCCAGACGGTGCTGGCAGGGAGCGAGGGCTGATCGCGGTGCCTGGGCACCCCTGGGTTGTGGCGGTGGAGGGCCAGCCGCAGGGTCCCTCGGGATGGCCAGGCGGCCTCCTTCCGCGGCCCGTGTGGCTGTCTCCGGTGCTGGCGTCTCGTCCCCTGCCGCGTCCTGTGCGTTCTCGGCGCTGCGGGTCCGCGGCTCGCACTGTCCTGGAGGAAGGAGGCCTGGAAGCCAGGCCGAGTGTGGCCCTTCGTCCGGAAGGCTCTGGAACTCCAGAAGTGGCTGAGTGTGCCGAGGCAGGGGTGCTGGCGGGGAGGGACCCTGGGCAGAGCAGAGAGGTTCCAGGTAAATGGGGGCCCTTGGGGGCCCCAGCTCCACAAGAGACTTTTTACAGCTCAGCTCGAGTCACAGCTATGAAAATGAGCTTCACCCTATTTTTTTTTAAGGATGTATTTATTTATGCATACAAGAGCTGGGGTGCAGGCCAGAGATGCGGGGGTGAGAGGATTCACCAGAGACAGAGCGGGGAGCAGGACAGGTGGATCCACTGAAATCCACTGCTGAGGGGAGCAGCGGGGAGACAGGAGAGGTCTGCTGCGCCCTGTGGGCCAGCTCCCCGGGTGGGGATCAAATTCAGGCTGCAGAGGCTGCGGATAGCTTCATAGTGCTGAGACCTAACCCCTTGCACCACCAGGGAGGCCCGAGCTTCACCCCATTTAAAAGTGAGAAGGGGCTCCCCCATTTCCCTCTGTACCCCTGGAGTCCTACCCCCTGGCTGGAACTGTGCGCGGGGGCCATTCTGGGTCACCGGCCGCTGCTGCTGCTCACCACACCGGACTCCTGCAAGCTGAGTGTGGGGCTCTGGGCAGAGGAGCGGGTCAGAGAGGGGTGTGGACGCTTCCGGCCCCGTGGGGAGCTGGGCACAGGCGGGTCCCGGGTGGGCCCTGTCCTCTGGGAACTTGAGACCATAAGGATTTGTTCACTGCCAGGGTCAGCTGCAGCACGGTGGGGGCGCTTCTGGCGATCTGGGACTTGCGTTTCTTGCACATTATCTGACATTTCTGGTTCCCACCGACCAGGCTCTTGGCACCCCCCTCACCCGCACATCCCCCTGCGTCCTTGGCTGAAAGGGGTGCTTGTTTGCGAGGGGCCCTTGTGATCCCAAGTCAGAATCCTCCCAGGTCCGCCCGGGTCAGCCTGGCGCCTGCTCCGTGCGAGCAGGTCAGGACACGGGCCCAAGGGCAGGGGAGACCGCGGGCGGGGCGCAGGCTCTTCTCTCAGCTTCCTCTCCAGTGAGCTGTGCAAAGAAATAAGGCCCATCTCAGAGCGCCTGGGCGAGATCAGAGGCGCAGGAGCGCGCGGGGGCCCGAGCCGGGCATGCGGGGGGCCGGACGTGGCAGCGCCACGGTCATCGTGGGGCTGCGGGTCTGCTCGCTGCCGTCCACCCCGCCCCTCTGGGTCGGCCAGCCCAGCGCAGCAGGGGCCACAGGGCCCAGATCTCGGGGTGACCCGCCCCCGCCTTGCCCGCCTCCCCTCGGCCCCCCCACCCCTGCCGCAGGTGCAGCCTCGGCGTCGGGGCGCCGCGCCCTCTAGCGGAGGGGCCGGGCTCCTGACCCAGGTGTGCGGCAGGTGAAATGAGGTGTTCCGGGGAGGCAGGCGGATCCTCAGGCCTCTGCAGGCGCCGGAGAGAACGCGGTGGGAACTGCAGGCAGCGCCAGGGAGGCGTGCGGGGGGGCCTGTGTTTATGGGGCTCTTTGCTGCGTTGTGCTGAAGGAGCGGACACCCAGGCCGGGGCCGCCCTGCCACAGGGCCTGTCTGCTCGGGACACGGCTCCGACCGGGCGCCGGGGCTGTTCAGCTCCAGAGCCCGCTCCGTGCTCTGACCCCGCGCCCTCAGCAGGGGCTGGACGGCGGCTTCCATTCACAGCCGGCTTAGAGTGCTTGTGTTTAGACGTCTCCACAGACGCTCGGCTCCGCAGCGGAGGGCGGACCTGGAGAGGGAGCGCCTCGTGGGAGTTGGTGGATTCTCAGCGCCTCCGAGGCTCTTCGAGGTTTTCCGAGCTGCTGGGAGGGGGCGGGGTGGCCTGGGAGGGGGCTGTGGTCCCACGTGCTGCCTCTGTTCCCGGCGCGGGGCTGGCTGGACCCTGACAGAAAGCGGCGGTGGCTCCCTGTCCCGGCGGGGTGGGGTGGGGGCACACCTGCGGGGGCAGCTTGATGCTGCGGCTTGCCCAGGAGCTGACTGAGGTGCTGTCACTCTTACTCCGGCCCTGGTTGAGATGTTGGATGCGTCTGCCCAGCGGTGGGTGAGGTCCAGGGTGCAGCTGCCCAGCGGGGGGTGAGGTCCGGGGTGCAGCTGCCCAGCGGGGGGTGAGGGTGGGCAGGCTGGGAGAGGCTCAGGCAGACACACAGGAAGCGGGGCCTGTCGGGGTGCTCATGTGACGGTGTCACCCGGCGGGGAGGGGAGGCGGAGGCAGGCAAGAGGGCCGGGTCCGTTGCGGGACGGACGTGTGCCCGCCCTGAAAGCGTGAGGGAGCGGGTGTGGGCCTCCTGGGTGAGGGGCTCTGTGGGTGATGCAGGTGCCTGCCGGGCAGACGCCCGGGGCCTGAGCCGCTGGATGGGAGGGGCCGGTGAGGTCTGGGGGTCGTGGCCCAGGGAGGGGCCGCGGGGCCTCTGGTGTCTCCCGAGGGTGCGGGCGGCAGGCCCAAGCAGCGCTGACTCGGACCTGGGAGAAAGCGCCGCCTGACTGGGGGGCTTGGAGGAGGCTTTCAAAGTGGGGCCCAGGCAGAGGTCAGGCTGGAGGGAACTCAAGGGGGACGGGGGCTCAGGGACTCCCAGGCCATGCAGAGTCTGCCAGGACCCGTGGGAAGAGCTTCGGGGGCCTGCCGTGCCGCCGAGTGCAGCCTGTGCAGACCCAGCGCCGTAGCCGTGGGGGCAGGGGCTGGCACCCGACCGCCCGGCGCGCCCTCGCGTGAGAACAGCTGTGTGTGCGAGGCCGCGGGGCTTCCTTCCTGCACCCCAGCCACCCCCAAAGCGGCTGCTGCCTCTGGGCACACGAGGCCCGGCCTTGGGGGTGCTCTTGGGGGTGCTGTGCCCCGAGGGGGCAGACCTTGTGGGGTGCAGGAGGGCCTGAGCCTGTTCCCCGCTGCTCCCCGGGTGCTGCGCCCCGAGGACCGGGCTGCAAGGGGCGTGTTTCTAGGATTTCTGAGCAGCGCTGCCCCCGTGGCCCAGAGCAGGCCTGGCACACAGTAGGTGCTTCATAAATACTCAGCAAGTGAGTGGATCCTCTTGGTCCTTCCCGTGAGTCAGGATCCAGGTTCCGCCCATTGTTCTGCCGCTGACCTGGGCGCTTTGGCGCAAGATGAGCAGGCTGAGGCCTCTCCGCCCCCCAGGCGCTCTGCCTCCTCTGCTAGGGAGTAACCTCCCCGCTGACGCGCGGCCTGGAGCCCGCTGGGCCTCGCGGTTGCCACCTCCAGGAGGCCAGGGAGCAGCGGCCCCGCCCGCGCCTCTGCAGGAGCCCGGCTGCCGCCCTAAGGCCTCCCCAGCTGAGCAGAGACCCGCCCCGCCCCCTCAGCCACTCAATGCGGGCTCTGTTTATTCTGGAGGAGCAATTTTCAAGGGGGCTGCAACACTTGTTAAAATGAAGGTAAAGAATGTAAACCACAGCCAGGCTGGTCACCTTCTGCTTCAAAAGCCCCTTGTTCCTGCAGGCGCCCTCCCGCGGGCCTCCCCCGGCCTCCCCCGGCCTCCCCGAGCCCGTGAGCGGGCAGCGCCGCCCTGGGCCGGGGCACGGCTAGGAGAGGGTGGCGGCCGGGAGGCACCTGCCGGGTGCCCGGAGAGAAGGCCCCCAGAGCTGTGTCTGGAGCAGCCCCGCTCCCGCCCAGCAGGGCTGACGGCCTTGGCCCCCGCCACACCGCAGGCCCAGCTGCCATTTCTTCCACCGTTTGCTGCTTCCAGGCAGATCCTTGTTTCTGCCCACGACCCCCTCGCTTCAGCGCCAGGGCAGGCGGCCGCCGGGAGCAGCAGCCTCGAGGTGATCTGGGCCGGCGCCGCCCCGCAGGACATCCAGGGGCCTGGCGCCTTCAGGGAGGCCTTGCCAGCCCCGCCCAGAGACCAGGTTGGCAAAGGGGGAGAACCACGAACTGATCTTTCGATTAAGGAACCTGAGCTTCTTCGGCTCGGCGACTGGTGCCCTCAGCGCCTCTGTGAGGGGCTCGCTGTCCCCGCCTTGGCGTCCGTGTCCACCGAGGCCCCACCTGCGTTGCATGAAACAGCACAGGCGTGTCCGTGGGCGCCAGGTCTGGCCCCAGGAGGTAGTCGCCGTGGCTGCTCTGCAAGCCCCGCTGGGCACCCATGAGCCAGGGCCTCAGGACCGCGCTCTGGAGGGCGAGGGTAAGACGCCACCGTGCCCATCTCAGGCCTGAATACGTGCTCAGGACAATTTACAAGAAAAACCCAAACTCCACAGTGAGCAGAAGCAGAGCGGAGGCGGGCGTGGGCCGGGCACTGGGTGGCCTCTGCGGCAGGCGGGCAGGACACACCAGCAGTGCCCTCCAGAGTCGGGTCCTCCGGAGAAGCAGGTGCGACGGATGAGAGTCGAGGCCCCTCTCGCTGTTACAGGCACCGGCCGGGCGGCTGCGGGGCCCCACCTGCCGCCCCCTGGTGAGAGCAGCCACTGGGTCCCGGGGCCGGCAAGGGAGTCCCGACCAGAGCCGAAGCCTGAGGCGGGCCGGCACCCAGGGCAGGAGGGGTGCGTGTCTCGATGGGGCAGGGGCAGCGCGGCCCCCCTGCTCTCCCCCGGACGGGCTCCCCCGTGCTGACGCTCAGGTCCCCCAGAAGCCCCTCGTACGGCGCCCGTGGGCCCCCCAGCACCAGCGCCAGGTGGCGCTGCACCCCGTCTGCAGCGTGCTCCCAGGAGCACCCTCGTGTCTCAGGGTGGGGAGCCTCCCGCTTGCCAGTGCCCAGGCCATGCCAGGGACGGCTGGGCCACACCCCGGCTCCTTATGGGGGCACTGGCGGCCGCGCCTTGCTGGAAAGGCCAGGCCGTCTCGGTGGGCGCTGGCCTGAGGCTTGGCTGACCCGGCCCCGCTGGGTGGGCTGAGTGGGCCGCCAGGGGCACGTGAGGGTCTGGCAGAGACAAGAGGCCCGGCGGCCCCACCCCCGCCTGAGGCCTCCCCCGGACACTGAGCGAGGGCAGAGCCGCCGCGAGCCGGGCTTAGCAAATGGAGGCAATCTGGGACGTGGGTGGTCCCGCGTCAGCCGGCGTCAGGTAAGGCAGCCGTCACTGCAGCCGGCGTTTGTGCAGCTGCTGGGCGGGCTCAGCCCCTGCCGTCCTTATTCGTCCTGACAGCCGGGACCGCGCCGCACGCCAGCTCCCGCCAGCGCCTGCGGGGACGCCCAGGGCGCCCGGGCAGCCCCCGCCCCCGGCGCCCGAGAGGGAGCTTGTGTTCCACCCTGTGAGGGCTCGCCCACGGCACTAGCGCTCAGGCTCCCGGGGGTAGGGCCCACGAGCACGGGGTGTGGCTGGAGACGTGGGACGTGGGCCAGGGTGGGCATGGATGTTGGGCAGGGGGTGGACATGCCCTCCCTGTGGCCGAGGCTGTCGCTGGCCACCGAGCCGGCATCTGTCAGGTGGCTTGAGGCGTGGCGGCGTTTCAGGGACGGCGGAGAGGGTGGGGGCACGGGCCAGGCCACTGCCCCTGGCAGAGCGCGGCACGGTGCCCATCACATCCCGGCACTGGGAGGCCTGGCGTGTCCGGATGCTAACCAGGCCGTTGAGCCAGTTCCCTGGAGCGAAACTGCCAGATTTCGTGGCTAAAGGCCCAGGGTAGATCGTCACTTCTGGGGTTTCCGTAACAAATGATCACGGACCGGGCAGCTTACAGCAGCAGCAGCAGCAGCACCTCTCCTCCCTCACCCCTGAGGCCCGAGCCTGAGGCCCAGGCGCGACTGCCCCGGCTCTGGGGGGCCCTCCCTCCCTCTCCCCACACCCGCGGCTTCTGGTGCTGCCAAAGTCCTTGGGCTTCCTGGACTCGGGGCTGTGCCCAGCCCACCTGTCCTCACCTGCCCCTCCCTCTGCGCCGGGCTCTGGGCTGCGGCCCCCGCCGGGGGGATCTGCAGAGTGTCTTTGTAGGGGGACGGCTGCCAGCCCTCGTGTCCTAGACGCCTGGACACGCGTCTGCCCATGTGCTGTCTTCCCTCTCCGGGGCCTCTTACCCCAGGAGCGCCGCTTCACGCCTGGCTTCCCACCACCCGCAGCGGGATGCTCGTGCTTGCTCTGACGAGGCAGGTTATTTTTCGGGTCTGGAAATGCTGTTGTCCTTAGTTGATATGATGGTGGCGGCAAAGGAGACAGCTCAGAGAAGGGGAAGTCACGGTGGGCTTTGAAGGATGGATAGGAGCTTTCCAGGGAAGCGTTCTGATGTGAGCCACGTGATGGCCGAGCACGTCCGGCGGCGCTTACGGAGCCTGGCCTGCGTGAAGGTCCCGGCTCGCACCCGCTGCTGCCAAGCCAGGGTGGAAACTCGTCTTCAGTGGTCGCCCCCGCGCTCGGGCACCAGCGGCTGCCTCATCACAGTCCTCCCGAGAGCAGGGGAGCGGGGACTCCCCGCTTTTCAGGCAAGGATTGAAACCCACACGGCAGGTCTCTGGGCGCGTGCTCTGCCCTGCTCCACGGCGCCTCCCGGAACCCCTAGATGCGCCCCTGGGCAAAGCGGGAAACACTCGCGGTGGTTTTGGTTCATCGACAGGAGCTCCCTGGCCCCCAGCGCCACCCGCGCTCTCAACGTCTCTGCAGTGTGAACGAAGGGCTCATGGGGAGCCTGAGGCACAGGGGGGTGGATGGGACGCGTGTGAGAGCGGGACAGGAGCGGAGAGGCGGGGAGAGCTGGGCCCTGGCTCGGGCAGCCGCAGCCCTGCTCGCAGGCTCCGACCGAGGCTGCAGTGGAGGGTGCAGGGAAAGAGCCGGCGCCAGGGGCGCCTCTCGGGCCAGCAGAGGCCAGGCGGGAGGCTCGGCTCGCTGTGCCCGTCGGGGCCCGGTCTCAGCCGGTCGGTCGCCTGGTGGGGCCGCCCCGCCCAGCTCTGCCAGCCTCCCTGCAAGCTCGGGTTCGCACGTGGGCACCTGGCCAGGCTCACGCGCACGTGCACAGGCCGTGATGCCTATCGCCGCCCGAGAGGTCGGGCTCCGTCCAGATCAGATAGCGGCGCGGACTCCAGCGCCCCGGGGAGAGAGGGGGCGGCATGTGAGTTCTATTAGCCAAGACCAACCCCCGATTTATTTTTCCACGCCTGGAAAAAAGAACGCGCCTTAGCCTTGCGACATGCTGCATTTGAGGAAAAGGCACAAAGACTGAAGCCACCCCGACGGACGCGCTGGCCAAGCCCCTCCGCGAGCTCTCCCCGAGGGGACGCAGACCCCAGCGCCCCTCCCCTGGGGTTTTTCTCCCGGTCCACCCTCCCCGCCCGCAGCCCCCTCCCCCGCGCCGCTCTGCAGGGTGCTCGGCATGAGCACCAGCCGTCGGGGAACGGCACGTGTTTGGTAGCAGGAGTCTGCCTGCTGCGGAGGGAGGTCTAAATAGGCTTCTGAAGGCGTGTCTGGGGATGGCCAGGGGACGGAGAAAACGAGGAACAGAGACAAAGACCGCGGGTCGCCCGGCCCCCGACGGGAAGGCTCGCGCCCCGTGAGCCAGCCGGGAGAGACGTTTCAGTTCAGACCACATCGTGTCGCGCTCCAAGTGCTTAGCAAGTGTCTGATGGGAGAGAAGTCGGTCTCGAGAGCTCGCCTGCCTACGCGTTTTCTCCTTTATTTCGACGAGACTCAGCCCCCTTCTCTCGCCCTCCCCTCACCCCCCCATCTGTGATCTTGCATGTGCCCAGCATCCCTGCCCGATCAAAACTGATTCAAAAGAATGAAGCCAGCCATTCACACTTTAGTATAAATAAGTCACAGGGGGCCCCTCTCCCGGGAGTAGCTTTTAAGTTCCTGTAGTTTCAGTGCTTGAAAGAGCAGCCGGGCTGTGGCCGACTCTGTTCCCAGAGCTGCTCCTGCCTGAGATGGATGCAGACGTTTTTCCATTGACACCCCCAGGGCACTTATGCCCGCATGCGTGTGCACACGTGTGTGTTACCCTTCAGGCCTGCAGCGTGGGGCTTCAGTCCCATTCTCCAAGTATCTTCAGGGTGGCCCAGCCCCGGGAAACATTACCTGCCATCCTCGAGGAACAAGCCGAGTCCTTAGCAGGAGAGGGGGCGCGGCCCCCCGACGCCAGGGCCCACACGGGCTCCGCGCCTGCTCCCGGCCAGGCTCTGCGAGGACGCCTGTTTTTTCAGAGCAGTGGGCACCGGCTCAGATGTCTGCTGACACGGCGCCGTGTTCCCCTCCGCTGACTCATCTGGCGGGAGCAGCCCCAGACGCCTACATGTGGCGGCCGCCGCAGCAAATAAAGGCAGGATGGTTTAGGTCCGTGCGTACGAGCAGCAGAGACGCAGCCAGGTCCTCCTTCTGGGTTTTGTTTTTCCATCTCAACACTCCCAGGCTGGCATTCAGGGACCTGGGCGGCCAGGGGCTCCCCTCAGAGGAAGGAGGGCCCAAGTGCCGCCCTGCTGTGTGGCAGGAGGCGAGGTGAGCGCCCCGAGCAGCCTGGTTTTCCGCCACGCCCCAGAGGCAGCCGCCTGAGGCTGGGAGGAGCCAGGAGCGCAGGCCCTCCGCCCGCCGTTCTCACCAGCACAGGAAGGGGTGGCTGTGGGGAGGCGGGTGCATGGCTCACCCTCCCGTCCCCGCATCGCTCACCGGCCGCCTGGCTCTGTGGGACCCCCTGATCCCGCCTCTGTCGGCAGAGACCCGGCCCCGCGGGGTGGTCATGCCCACGTGGTGGCCTCCATCTCGGCCTCTCCCGTCGCTGTTGGGAGGATCGCGCCGCCCGCCCCCGGGACTGTTCAGGCCGTGAGTCATGGCCGGTGAGAAGCTGGGGGCTGGTGCTCCGGCCCCGGGCAGGGTGGTGAAGACCAGCAGCCGGAGGGGCTTCCGCGGGCAGGCCCCGCTGACCCCCGTGGACACGCCGGGCGGCAAGGTGGAGCCCCGGTTTAGCAAAGGCTGGGGCTCTGGGCTGCCTGTCACGTCAGCAAGGCTTGGCCGTTCCCGGCTGCGCTGACGCATCGTCCAGCCCCGGCCCGGGTCCTGGAGGCCAGTCGCGTGGTCCGGTTCCCCGCCCCGGCCCCCGATCGGGACTGTCCCTTGGGCTCCGCCACTGACACCAAACCAGACAGCCCATCGCGAGGCCTCAGCATCAGCGCCCAGACCCGCTCCGCCCTGCAGGCCAGTCCAGGGCGCCGAGCCAGCCCCACGCCCTCGACCTGCGGCGCGGGGCGCTGAGAGAGCCAGGGACAGGGCAGCTCGCGCTCGCCTCCTGCGGGGCACTTTCCAGGCCAAAAAGTCACTTCACGCCTTTTACTCCCCCTTAAAAACGCTGGGCCAGGGGGTCCCCCAGACCCGCGGGGTCACACCAGACACGAGTGCTGGGAACTGACTCGCCAGAGACGGCTTCCTCGCCTGCCGGCCTTGGCGCCGGCGGCCGCAGACACGGAGCTGAGCGCCTTCCCCGAGGCGTCCCAGGCTGGGCGGAGCGAGGGGCAGGAGAGGCAAGGGTCTGTGGGCCCAGGGCCCCGGAGACAGCAGAGGCCCCGGCGGAGCCCGTGCCGCCCCCCGCAGCGGCGGCCCAGGCGCAGCCCCCGCCCCCGCCCCGGCTCTGTACAAGGAACGTGCATCGGCCTCGTCGTCGTCACGGTTCAGGGTTAAGGTACCGACTCCTCTTCCGCGCTCCAGAAGCCTTGACCCTCGCCTCCACGCATCCCCGACTCGCCCGGAGGCTCGGCTGGGCGCGGGCACGGAGGGGCGCCAGTCCAGAGGGGAGCCCCAGGGGCCGGGCCAGGCGTGAGCAAGCGCCTCCCGCGGGACAGCCCTGGCCGAGCCCAGCTGCCTCCTGGGAGGCGCCCCAGGTGTCCCCCGGAGCCCTCGCCGCCAGGATGCGTCTGGAAGAGGCCGCTGGCGTGGAGAGGTGCTCCCGGGGCGGGGGTGTGAGCACCGCCCCTCGAGGCCACCCTGAAGTCAAACCGCTATCCCGCCCTCCCCCTCCCTCCACTTAGAAGGAGCCTCAGCTGGCCGCTGCGTCCCGGCCCACGGGCGAGAGCGGGCAGCCGACACCCTGTGCCCACGCGCTGGGGCCTTCTGCGCTTCCTGTAAGAGCCTCGCCCGGGCCTCTCCACACACCCCACCCTAGCACAGCCAGCCCCTCCCCCAGGCCGGGCCCAGAGGGCATCAGGTGGGCGCCCCAGGGCCCACTGCAGTCTGCCAGGCCTCTGGGTGGGGGGGCGGGTGCCGGTGCCCCCGGGGCTGGGTGGGGATAGGTCTGTGCTGGCCACGGCTCTGCCTTCCAGCCGGGAGGGGCAGGGGCCTGGGGCCTGCTTCCGGACTCGAGTGTGGCTCAGAAGGCGCCCACCATTTAAAGTCGGGGCCCAAAAACAGTGCGGGAGCCCCCAGGGCAGGTGCCCTGGCCCCACATGCCCGGCGCGGGAGCGTAGTGCCCGGCCTGCCTCCCGGGAGGACCTGGCCCGCCTCACGACCACCCAGGGTCTTAGAGTGTTCCCTGCCCACGGCCGGGCTGGAAGACAAGCCAAGTCGTTTTGAGGGTGCGCACTCGTTGATCCACTGGACAAGACAGGAGGGGGGCACTGCGGCCGGCGTTTGGGTTCTGGAAAGTCTCCGGGCGCGCTGGCTGAGCGCCCCCATGCAGCGGGTGCAGGGACACCAGGCGGGAGGGACTGGACATGCCGGGGGCTGGGTTGAGGTCACGGCGCACCCAAAGGTGCCTCCTGGGCTGAGGGTGTCCAGGCCGCGCCCACCCGCCGACTGTGCCTGGGGCGCGCCCAGCCTGCCCGGGGCAGATGCGGCGGGGGAGGGCCTGTCCGCCCTCCCCGCTGCGGGCACCAGCTCCTGGGCCGTAACCTGTGTCCGCCCTCCCGACACTCCCCCGGGCGGGACCCGGGAAGCCTCCGAGGGTCTCATCCGGGACATCCTCCTGGTGGCCACCTCGGGAACTTCAGCCCGAGTGGGGGTGGGCAGAGGCAGCTCCCCCCCCACCCCGGCCGCCCCCCGCCCCAGGCTTTTATTAATGCCGCGCGCTCTGAACTTCGCCCGGTGAGCCCGCCAACAAGACAAAGATTCAAAACCCCTGGCCGTTGAAAACTTGCTCATTAAAAAAAAAATCCTGCTAACAAAGATGACGGCAGAGAAGCCGGAGCCCAGATGAGCCCCAGCCCCGCCGGGATGCGCCGCGCCCTCCCCTCGGGAAGGCACCTGTTCAAGCCGCTTCGCGCGGTTCCCGTCGCCGTCGTCCCCGGCAGAATCGCTGTTATCCTTGTGCTCACATTTCCCGGCGCCCCTCCGCGCGGCACATGTGGCTGCCACATTGTCCCAGAGCCGGCAGCGCCAGGCCCGAGCGGGCGCGGGGCACGCGGCCTGACAGGTCGGGGGCGCTTCTCTGCCAGCGGCCTCGCCCGGTGCATGGCGGGCCTGCCCGCTGCCCCTCCCGCGTCCCCGCCGCACCCCCTCCAGCCTGGGGGGCTCGGGGAGAGGGGGAGGTGGGTGGGTGCTCTGGAGACCTGCTTGGAGGGGGGCCCTCCCAGGGTTCCCGCTGGGCCAGCGGGCTGAGGGGGTCCTGCGGGGGTGGGCCAGGAGCCTCGTGCTGGGGGATGAGGGAGCCTCTCTGGGAAGGCGGGTGTCCCAGACCATCTTCGGGGTTAGGACCCCAGGGTCCAGCTGGCTCCGGGAGGCTGGGGAGACCCTCTAACCCGCTCTGCACTCCAGCCCAGGGAGGCCAGTAAGAGGCAAGTCGGGTGCTTGGGGGCCAGGTCCTGCTCCCAGCTCTGTGACTCGCCGTAGCTGGTGCCTCAGTTTCCACGAGTGAGCACGGAGAGGCACCGGCAGCTGCGTCACAGAAGCGCCGGGACGGCCGGACAAGATGGCGCGGGCGGGCCCGGGGACGTGTGTGGGCAGCGGCCGCCCCCAGCTCAGAGCCGTCGTCGCTGTCACTGTTCGCAACAGGGGCGTGGTGGCCCCGCTCGCGACAAGCAGGCCGAGGCCCGGAGGCGACCCCACACTAGCGGCCCCAGGGCCCCCCCCCCTTGCCGCGTTCCCGCCTGTTGATGGTGGGGTGCCGCTCAGGGCGGAGAGGGGGCCGGGCCAAGACCCTTCCCGCTCTGGGCTGCCTGCGCCCCGACGGCGAGGGGTTTCTCTGCTCCCAACAAGCACAGACATGTTGGGGACTCACCCCATGAGAGGCGAGCTGACGGGGTGTTCATGTCCCCACCGAAGCTGGAGCGCCCACGCGCCTCGGACAGCCGGCGTCTGCTCCCCTCCCCGGAACCCGAGGCCTCGGTCGTGTGGGGTGCGGGCTCGGGCGGTCGGGGACAGCCTCAGGCTCCTCCTCTGACCCGGTCATGGACCCAGCGGGCGCTGCCATGCACGGCAGTCCAATGCGGGCACCTCAGGGTGTGGGGGGACAGGGGGGGAAGACACCCCCCTCTCTTCTGCAGGAGGACAAGGGGGCCTGAGCAGTGGGCAGCCCCGAGGGAGGGGATTCAGGAGAAGCTGTTGCAGGGCGGGAGGAAGCCCAGGCGGCGTGGCCTCTGCTGGAGCAAACCCAGCCTGAAGCCCACCCTCCCCCCCTTTCCCGTCGCTGGGGCTGATACGTGCCCTTTACTTTTTAAACCGGCGTGGGGAGCTGCTGCTTGCACACCCACCGCCCGTTGGCGCCGTCCCGGGCCAGGCGGGGCCGCTCAGCACGTCTAGTCTCCAGCTCGGCGGGAGCAGGAAGGCAGCCCGGCCCCGCCCCGTCAGCAGTTCTCTGTGCCCCCCCAGCGCGTTCCAGGCAGCTTCAAGCATCCACGTTCAGGTTTCCAGACTCGTGTGGAGACGGACTGGCCCGTCGGGGCTGCCGGGCCCTTCCGAGCAGTTGTGCGCAGACGCCCGCCTTTCCCTCGGGCAGCGGGCTGGGGCGCAGGGGCGCTGGCTCGCAGCCACGCGGTGTGAAGTGGGGAGCTGGGGCTCCGGCAGGAGGGAGGACGCCGCCTCCACAGGCTCCTGCCGCCGGCTCCACGCAGGGCAGGCCCCGGGGGGGGTGGGCAAGGACGCAGCCCCCGGCTCCCCGTCCTGCAGAGGTCAGCGCCTGCCCGCGCGGCCGCAGAGCAGCTTGCTACGCAGGCGCGTGGACAGCACAGGGGGTGCTGAGCCGCCCACCCCGGCCTGACCCTCCGGCGCTGGGTCCTGTCCCCGAAGGCGGTGGTCACGGCGGGCGGGGGCCTCTCTGCGTGGCCGCGGGGAGCAGACGGTGGAGGGTGGCCGGCGCCTCCCTGCTCCAGTCACCAGGCCACGGCCACTCCGAGGCAGGCGGCAGAACCCGCCGAAGGGGGCCCTGGGGTGTGGGCAGTCCCCACTCCTTGCCGGCGCCCGAGCCTGCGCCCTGCTGCGAAGGCCCGTCCACGCTCCCGCGGGCCCCCGTCCAGCAAGGCCGCCGGCCGGCCCGGGCGTCCCCCTCCGCACGCCACCGCGAGCGCGGGCAGGCGGTCACGCACACACTGGCCACGCGTGCTTGCACACGCCGCCGGGCAGACGCCGCCGTCCCTCCGCCCGCTGCCCGGCCCCGGGCAGGATTTATGACTCTTAGCAAGCAGAGCCCAGAGCTGAGGGGACTGTCCCCGGCCCGGGCCAGGAGGGCCGCGCTGGCCGCACAGGCCGGGCTGAGCTCACGCCGCCGCGGGGCCGCTGGGAGGGCCTCGTCGTCCCAGATTAAAAGAAAACAAGAGCCCGGCTCCTCCCCAGCTCCCACCGAGGAGGTATGCGTCTCCCCCGGAGGAATGTGACCCCTAATTACTGTTTGTCACCAATTAATTAATGTTTGAAATACAGCCCCTCCCTCCACCCGGCCAGCGGAGGGGCGCCACGCCGACGGGCTCCTGCGGTGGGGGGGCTCCTGCTGCTGCCTGGAGCCACATCTGGGGGTGGGGCGGCCCCGAGGCACAGGGAGACCCGGCCCAGCTCCACAGGCCCCGCCGCTCTCCTCTGTGCGGGCTGGGCCGGGCTGGGGCGGCGTGGCCAGTGCCTGCTCCAGGAGCTCCAGCCGCGCTCGCCGTGGGCCCGGAAGGGGGGCACCAGCGCGGACGGGGGGCACCGGCCTGGACAGGGGCACCAGCGGGACCGAGGCACCAGCCCCGGAGCCGCAGAGGCCTCAGAACCACGGCGGGGGCAGCAGTTGGGGTGTGACGGCGGGAGGCCCACGGGCTCCAGAGAGGCTGAAACTGGCCAGCCAGGGGCACCCGGCCCCCTCCCGCTCCCAGCTCTGTGGGAAGGAGACAGACCGGGAGGGCGCGCGGCTCTCAAGTCCCACGAACCCCAGGAAGTGAAAGCGGTGTAGCCCCCAGAGCGAGACCCAGGCCCACCCCAGGGGCATCTGTGCCCCCCCAGCCACACTCTAGCAGCACAAGGACGCCCCAGCCACCCACAGTGGCGCCCTGCAGCAGCGCCCCCCGCCCCCGCCGCGCCCAGCCCACCCCAGGAGCCGCACCGGGACTGCCCAGGCGCCCTGGCCCGCCCTGGGCGCGGAGCATCCGCCCATAGACTGGGTCCACCCGCGGGGAGTCCTCCAGGAGGACGGGCACCGGCAGTGTGTGGCCGCAGCGGCACCCCGGCAGTTATTTCCCATGACTCGCAGCCCTCCACGGGCCACAGCCCGGCACGCTGGGGGCTCCACCCCTCCTTTGCACACCGTTGCCTGCAGGTCTTCTGGGGGAGATTTGCCCCTTCGCCCCGTTCATGTCCGAGTCCAGTGCCCACGGCGCGGGAGAGGCCGGTGGGGGTCGATCTTGTCCGGCTGTTACCCAGGCGGCCTGCTGGGGCCCGGGGGCTTCTGGCCGCTGAGAGAGCTTCCCGGTCGGCTCCTGTGGCCTCCAACTGCCACCGGCTGGCCTGGCGTTCCTGCTGCCCAGTCCCAAGTGGGGTCTCAGGGGCCTGGAGCACGCTGCCCCCCGGGGTGCCTGCGGTGGGGGGCTGTTTCCCCGGGTCATCACCGCCCTTCCCGCCTGGGATACAGCGCCATGGCCTGGGCAGCTGGCCAGAGACAAGCCACTGGGGCGGCACCTGCCCGTGCCCGGTGGGCCGAGTGGACGCTCAGCTGGCCTGGCGAAGACCCAGGCCCGGGGGGGCCCGTCTGACCACGCAGGACTCAGAGCCGCAGGGGGCGCAGCTGCGGGGTCCTGACCATCTGAAGGGTCTGGAGGGGAATGGCCTTTCCACCTGGGGGGCCGCTTGTTTGGCAGGAGAGGGGCTGAAAGGGACCCTCCAGGTTAGGGGTCTCACAACGCAGCCGGCCCCCGAGGCCCTCCCCCATGGTGCCGGCTGGGGGCGGCGTTTGTCAGGGGCGCTGACAGGACCCCCCACCTTGCAGGGGCGCCATGGGGCTGAGGAGTCCGCGTCCCCAGGAGCCCCCACCTCTGGGGTCTCGCGCCTGGGCCTTCGTCCAGCCGACCCAGGCTCAGGTGGGCAGCGGCCAGGGCTGACGCCGGGACGGGCACTGACGGGCAGGGAGCCTCTTGGGGACACCTCCAGAGCCTCTGGGGTCCGCGCGTCCGCCCACGGGTAACCGGCCGCGGGGTCAGGGCCGAGGACCTGCCGATGAAGGATAAAGAGAGGCAGGAAGGCTCCTGTGGTTTTAAGCTCCTCTCAAGCGCAAGAATTGGGGGCGGCTACTCTGGTGAGCGCCGTCTGGGGGCGGCCGGCGGCTGAGTGCGTCGGAGATTCGAGCCATGTGAAGCCGCCGGATCCATTCATCAGAACGGGTCGAAAGCGAGTGGTTCCTGCGGCCCACCCGGGGCCTGGCCTGCTTCCCACTCGCCGCGTGGAGGGGGCGGGTCCCCATTCCACGAGTGCCGGGCCCGGGGTGAGCGATCCATGGGGGCGCAGGCGGGGCTCAAGTCCCCCGGGGCCCGCTCCTGCCCCCCACACCCACCCCGTTCCCAACCCCCCACCCCCTTTTCTTTATGGTCATCTTGCTTTATTTATGTGTATTTTACATCGTCGCTCATTCCTGCACAACGCTTGCTTTCTGCTCTCAGGCGCAGTCCCCAGAAAATCCCCGGCACCCCGCACCGCCGCCACGGCCCCCGTGCGCCCTCCCTGCGTGGAGCCTGCCTCCCCGTGAGCCAGACCACCCCTGCTTTTCTCTCTCCTTCTGGCTCATGTCACGGAGCCGCCTCCCTTCCGGCTCCCTCCATGCTGCTGCGAATGGCCTGAGTTTGTCTCTTTCCATGGCCGAGAATATTCCACTGTGTGCACAGACGCCTCTTCTCGAGCCGCTCATCTGTTCTGGGGCATTTGGGTTGTTTCCGCGGCTCCCGTAAATGGTGCTCGGTGAGCGCGTCCCCTGAGACGTCCTCACGGGTTAGGAGACGCCCCCGGACAGCGGCCCCCCTCCCGCAGCGGAGCGGGCGCGGCTGGCTTGGCTGCCTTGCCTGACGTCCGGGTGTGTCGCGCTCCCGCGAGCCCATGACCCTCGTGACCACGGTCCCTCCAGCATGGCAGCCCCCAGAACTAACACGATACCCCAGATCACCCCAGTTCCTGAGGAAGCGCCCCCTGTGACCCGTGCGCGCGAGGCAGTGGGGTTGAAAGGGATCACGAGACTTGGTTCGGACGCGGACTTGGAAACAGCGGCGGGGACGCGTCTGCTGAGCCAGCCGGGCCTGCGTCTGGGCTGAGCTGCCTCCCCAGCCCGGGCCCCGGCGTGCGGCGGCCCAGCCAGGCCTGGCCGCCTCCTGGCACCTGCAGATGGGCTGCGACATGGTGGGGGGCTCCCGACCCGCAGGACGAGCTGCTTCCTTCACCCTCTCGGGCGAACCCCAAACCGCACGGGGCTGCGGGTCCGTCCTCGGGGAAGGTGGGCGGGAGGGGCCTCTCGCCCCCAAGGGCCAGCCGCGCTCTAAGATGCGTCTTATTGCCGACATAGTGCGATTTCACGACAGCCCCCGCCGCCCTCCCGCCTCCCGGGTCCACCTATTTCTTTTTATGACGCTCGTTTCGTCGGTGACGCCATCACACAGCCCAGCAGCCCTTAACTGAAACCACGGCCGCTGCGTTAGGCTCCTCCAAACCGGGACAGCCGGGGCTTTGGGGAGGTCCCCTCGGAGCACCACGGGGCTGGGGCGCAAGCCCCCGTGGGCCCTGGACCTCCGAGCCGTCTCAGAGGCGCCGGGGCGTGGGGACTCGGTGTGGCTGGGCTGGTGCAAGCCCTGGTGCCTCCCCATGGGGCTCGGTGGGGAAGTCACCATAGGTGAGACCGGCGAGACGAGGTCGCCCCGGGAAGGGCACCCCCTAAGGAGACAGGAGGGCACCCTTCTGAGAAGACAGCCATGTGGGCACCAGCACAGGGAGGCAAGGGAGGCACACCCCAGGGTGCCGGGGAGCCAGAGTGCCGCCCCTGGCTGGCTCCAGGCTTCCAAGCAAGCAGGAGACGCTGCATCTGGTGTGAGGGCCCAGTCTGGGCCCCTGCATCGCGGTGCCCCAGCAGGAGCACCCGGGGCTTGGCTGGGAGTTGCCGGCGCTCAGGCACGTTCTGTGCCCTCCTCCTGGGCCGCCTCCTGCCTGCCCTGGCGGCGTCCAGACCAGACACCACAGGCACCCGGTGCCGCTCTGCGGGGGTGGGGGTTGCGGGGAGGGTCTGGAGCGCAAAGCTCAGCGTTCACGGCTCCTCCCGGTTGGGGAGAGCATGCAGGGGCCGGGAAAGGTTCTGGGGAAGGGGGTGTGCTCACATTTCTCAGGTTGGGACCTTGGTGTTGGGGTGACTGCTGGCTGGATGTTTTCTGAGTCCTCGGAGGGCAGGACATGGCGGCGGGCACAGGCAGGAGGGGCCCTGAGCAGTAAGCCGGCTGTGTGCTCATTGGGCCCTAGTGCGTGTGTGTGCAGGGGTGTGTGCAGGTGTGAGGGGTGTGTGCAGGGGTGTGTGCAGGTGTGTGCAGGGGTGTGTGCAGGTGTGAGGGGTGTGTGCAGGGGTGCATGTAGGGGGCAGTTCAGTTATTCCAAGAGGGGAGGGGAGAGCGCTGTAGTGAAAACCAGAGCAGCTTCCACTGACTCATTCCGCCGTTTCCTGTCTACTGGGGTCACCCAGGCAACATCAGGGCAAAAGACAGCTGTTAGCACCTCACAGCGGACACCCTGGAATCTCTGCTCCCCAGTAAACACTGGTCTCTCCTTGGAAACCTCCCACTAATCTACCCAACAAATCAGTTTGAGAACAGTCTGTGGTTTAAAAATAACTCTTGTTTTATCTCTGAAACAACACAGCACAGTTGAAATTTAGAAAAAAACAGGAGACGAGTAAGAAGGAAAGTTGTCAAATTATCATCATCTCCTTAACCAAGCACATGCTGGGATCCGGGTAATTTTCTTCCGTTCCCTCTCGGCCTGTGCGCCCGTGGCGTGATTTCAGGCCCTTTTCCACACTGATGGTAAATCTCAGGGTCCGTTAGAAATGGCCTCGTAAGGATCTAATTATCAATGTCTTTAAGAAGCCTTCGCGGTCACCACCGCCGCTGCTTGTCTTCAGGTGACTGTGGGCTTCGGAAGTCTGAATCCTTGCTCCCTTGCCGGGAGAGTCCCGTGTCCTTCTCTTTTTATGTTAACTGTTTTCCTTGAACCTCATCTATGCTGACTTACGTCACGGGCCTCAATGCCCAGAGTGTTTTGAAACACTTGACTAGGACACTGTTCTTGTTTCATGAGTGCAGCGCCTCCTCTCAGAGCAGCAGTCTAGTCACTGAATAGTCTCTCTTCCCTCTCGTCTCTGTCACGGCAGTGGAGTGTGCACGGCTCCAGTTTGCCTTTTGACCTGTAAATGTGTATGATTCAGGGGCATTAACCGCATTCGCGAGGCTGTGCTGCCATCACCTCGCTCTAGTGCTAGAACATTCCACTGCCCCACAGGAGACCCCGTGCCTTTAACAGCCATCCCCTGCCTTTCTCCCCCACCCCTGGCGGTCACGCCTCTGCTTCTCCACGGGCCAACACAAGCCCCTAAGCAGAGAGGCGCTGGGGAGGGAGGCTAAGGAAGGGAGACTCGCTCCCCGCTGCTGTCTCCTGCTCCGCTCAATGGCTGAGCCGCACCTGAGCAGGTTAGGGGCAAACACTGAGGAGTCGCGGTCGGTCCAGCCCTACAGGGGCCCGGGCCAGCACCTCAGGACACAGCCCTGCTTCGAGGCTTCATCCAGCTCAGACTTGCGGGCGGTCCCCCAGCAAGCGCCCCTCTCCCGACACGTGCTCGCGGTGCCAGAGGTCAGAGGGCGCAGGGCGGGATTCACACCACTCGCCAGCTCGCGCTGCTACGTCGACGCAGGTTGAAAGGCCAGCAAGGGCAGGGCCAGTCACACGGCGTTCTTCTGCCGAGGTGTCATTTTTCAGAGATGCACAACACACCCCACGCAGAGCGCGGCCGTGGAGAAACTCCTGCGGCTTGGCCCGGTGCCGCGGCTGCAGCAGGAACAGCGTCCGCGGGCGGCGGCGCGCCTGGTGAGTGAAAGTCAACAGAGAGAAAGACAGTAGGGGGTTTACACAGAAACCCCAAATTCTGTCCCAGGAAGTCAGTGACCCCTGGGGCGGCAGCTGGAACACGGGGTCACCCCAAGCAGGAAAATGAGCGGACGTCCCCGTTACAAAGCAGCGGCGGGTGAGGGAAGCCCATTGGTAACAATTAGAGCCGGATCAGCGGGGGACGGTCAGCTCCGCGGGTGTCTTCGCAGCTCCATGCGCTGGGCGGTTCCCTGGGGCTGGCTCTCGGCTTCCCGTCAGTGACCCGACCCGGCCCCTCCGCGAGGAACGTCACCTGTGGACGACTTTCTCGGGTTCCTGGCCAGCGCGTCCCACCGGACACGCGGCCCAGGGTCTGCGGCTCGCGAGCCCCGAGGCGCACAGCGCAGAGGGGTGGGCGTCAGTGCTGGGCAAACCCGAGGCTGCCGGCACCCGCCGCCCTCCCGGCCCGGGGACACCCTTCTCCACGCGCGAGGCTGTGCTTGGGACGACGTGCGGGCGGTGCGTCCGCGGCTCCGGCTCCGCCCTGCCCCCCTGTGCGCCGGGGGCGCCGGCTCCTGTCCCGGGCTCGCTCTGCCCGCGGCTCCAAGTGTTCCTGGCGCTGCCCACCCAGGCTGGGGCCCGTGCGGCCTTCCGAGCCCGGCGCGGCCTCTGCCGGCCACCTTGATGGCGCCGCGGGGAGGCGCCCGCACGTCCAGGGGTGGCCGGCGGCCGCTGGGTGGGGCCCACGTGAAGCGAGGGCCCTGGGCGGGGAGGCAGCGCTCAGCAGAGCGCCCCTTGCCCTGGGCTGGGGGCCTCAGCACTCCGGGGCAGGCAGAACCCCGGGGTCCGGGCCGGCGGGAGCCAGCACCAGGGTCCCTCGTGTGGCCACACCCACCCACCCCTGCAGGCCCGAGCCTGGCTCTGTTCAGGGTTGTCCTCCCCGCCCGCGTGCCCCTGGAGGGCCTTGCAGAGGAGTCGCTGCGGGGTCCGCTCCTCCCCGCAGAGCCCGACGCCCCGGAGCGCCAAGACGGCCGTGGGTCCTGGGCAGATGCGGTCGCGGCGTCCTCGGCGCTTAGCCACGCGGGGTGCGGTCGGCCACAGGCTGCGCTGGGCTGGGTTCTGGGGAGCCCCCACCCCCGGCCACGGAGCACAGCTGCGGAGGGTGGGGAGGGGGCGGAGGGCTGCGGCAGGGCCTCGGCTGAGCAGAGGGATGTGGGGGTCAGCGCGGCGCCCGCACAGGGTAAGTGTTGGGGAGTCAGTGACGGTGCTGGTGGTGGTGGCAACGCGGCGTCCGTGGCGATGGTGCTGAGCCTGGCATCTCGCCCACTCCCCTCCGCCCCGGGAGGCCGCCGAGACCACGACGGGTGCAGGGACCCCGGGCCACGCCCGCTCTGCTCGCCCGCGGCGCTTTGCCTTCGATTGGGCGAGATTCCAGGCGCGTCGGACCCGCCCGCGCCGAGAAGCCACGCGCACGCGGCCCAGGAGGGCGACCGGGAGAGAAGGCCCCGGTCTCGCAGGCACACGTGCCTCCTCCTGCAGCCCACGAGGGTCAGCGGTCACTTTGGGGCTCGGCTGTGACCCACACGCGCTTGGCCCCTTGGGGCCGTCCGTCTCCAGCCACCACGAAGCCGGCGACGCCCGCTCCCAACCCCAGCGAGGGCGGGCTGGTGGGCGGGCTCCGTGCGGGTTAGCAACATGCTGCTCGCTGGCGGGGGGCCGGGCTAGACTCGGGGGGCTGCCGTACAAGCGTCACAGAACTCAAAGTCAGGGTTCCCTGCGGGGCCTGGGCGTCCCGCCGGGCGTCTCTGGTCTGGGTGCGGCGGGGAGGCTGCTCCAGGGCCGCCATCTCGCTGGCCTGCTCGGCTCCCTTGGTGGGGGGCCCATGGAGCTCTCTCCCCTTCCTCTGAGGCACCCCCTGTTCCAGGACGCCCACCGTAGCGCCCACTTCACCGTAGAACCCCAGCCAGAAGCACAGTCACGTGGGGCAGCGGCACGCTGGTGGCTGAGTCGGCTAAAGGTGGAGGCGGGCCTGGCACCAGGCGAGGGGTGTCTGGGGTCAGCTCTGCCCTGGGGGCCGGTGTCCGCCCGACCCCGGTAGGCACACGAGGCCACGCTCTGCGCAGGCCCCGGGCGGCCACAGTGGGCGCGGCGGCGGCCCCGGGGAGCCGAGGGGGGCGGCAGGCGCCCTTGGCCTTGACGGAGCCGCGGGCAGTGAGCAGGGAGGGCGGACGTGGGCGGGGTCGAGAGTTCAGGGGAGATGAGAAATTTCCCGACCTGGAATCCGAAGGAGGGGCTCGCGGCACAGACAGGGCCCGGCGCCTGCCCCCGCGGCCGAGTGCGGCGCTGCCCCGCGGCCATCCCGAAGCCTCCCGGCAGGCCGCGGCCAGGACAGCCAGCGCCACATCCATCTCCCGGTGACGGCCCAGCAGATAGGGGCTGCGAGGGCCGCGCCGGCCCGGGCGGACAGACCCTGCCAGGCTGCCCACGCCCCGGCGCCTGACCGTGTCCTCTGGGGACGGGCTACCTGGCAAGTGATTGTTTTTGCCGCGGGCTTCAAAGGTGCTGCGGCGGCTGCTGACGGGTTCAGGGGCCTGCTCGCTCCGGGGGCCTGGCCATGCCCAGCCCCATGCTCCCTGGCCCCGGAGCCTGGAGCAGGGGCATCTGTGGGCACCCCAGTGTGTCTGCAAGGACCCCAGGCCACAGCCGTGGGCCTGGTGAGCGCCTGGTGACTGCTGAGGCCCCAGCCACCGTGTCGCCTCCTCCAGGAGGGGTCTGCTGCGCCCTGCGGGCTGCTCCCTGCCCGGGGGTCGAACTCGTGCTGCAGAGGCTGCGGGCAGCTACACCCTCTTCCCCGGGCGTGCCGTCGGCAAAGCACAGCGGCTGTCCCGGATCGGTGGACCCTGACCCGCCTGCACGACCGGACCCCCGGGCAGGGGCTCTCCTCCGTGCCAGCGCCCTCCCTGCAGAGCTGCGGGACAGGAGGTCGGGCGTCAGCTCCTGCATCGTCTACACGGAGGGTTTGCTCGTCCCACGGGTGACAGAGGCCTCGGCTCCCCTCCGAGCCGCGAGGGCGGGCGTTGCCAGAGTCGCTGAGCCCCCACCTGTCGTTGGCAAGACCAGGGAAAGACCCGAGCCCCTGCCCACTCCTTGGGGCGCAAGCGATCCCCGGACGTACTTGGAAGCCCCAACCTGTCCTGCCCCACCCGCTCTGTGCCCCACCCCACTCGGCCCCCCACCTCCCTCTTCTCCCCCAGCCCCTCTCTGCCTCGCCCACCCCCGCTGCCCCCACCCCCTGCCCTGCTTTGGGGCCGGCCGCTCCTGGGGCGCTGCCCCCCGCCGGCCGGAGCATCTGGACTGGGGCTAAGCGCCCATCAATCAGGGCCGCTGCCTGGACGAGCCGGACAACTGCGCGGGGCCTCTCCTCACCCGGGAGCCAAATGGCCAGGACGGTCGGGAGCCTGGGCTCACACCTGCCCTCGCTCCCCGGCTCCTGGCAGGGGTGCAGCCTCAGGCGGCCCCGCTCCGGAGCCATCTGGGCGGGCCGAGCAGACCCCATCCCAGCAACACGGGGCCCTGGGGTGGGGCGGCCGAGACAGAAAAAGGCGACGGCCCCTCGCGGGCAGGCCCCGGGGCAGCGGCCTGGCCCCCCGAAGGCCCAGCCGTGCTGCCTGGTGACCTGGGAGCGGGTGCTGTGTGTCCCCCGCCCGTGGCCGGCCACGAAGGCCCTTCGTGCTGCTCTGCTTTGGGGTTTGGGGTTGGCAGTCGCTGTGTGCCTTGGCCGGGCCACGTGTAACAGGGGGGCAGGGTCCCCGCTTGGAGAGCATGAGAGGCAGCGAGCTCGCCCGCAGGCTGGGCGCTGGGCAGGGCGGGGCAGGGGCCTCGACAGGTGGACACAGCAGGCTGCTGAGCGGTCGGCTCTGGGTGCCCAAGACGGAGACTCCAGCAGGCCAGGGAGGGGCCGTCTGCCCTTTGGGGTGGCGCCGGTCAGTGTCTGGGCAGCTCCCTAAACTCACACGCACACCTGCTCACTCGGGATCTGGCTACACGCAGGCTCTGCCTCAGAGCTGGGGGGCCGGGTCTGCCTTGCTGACGCCCCCCAGGGAGGCCGAGGCTGCTGTGCAGGCCTCTAGTGGCCCCGCTCTGAGAGGCTGGCTGGCATGGGGTGCGGCCTGGCGGGGAGACTGAGCACCCCTGGGAGCCAGGGCACCACCCTGCCCCCAGCCTGGGCTGTGGGTGGGTGCCCGTGGGGAGCGGACAATGCACTCTCTGGTGAGACTCTTCCAGAAACGCTGTCGTCGAGAGGTAGTAGGTAGTCCCCGCCGCCCCGCCCTGCAGGCCTCAGTGGGTCCAGCACCCCCAGGCCGTGTGGCCCCCCTTCCCCCCGCCCCGCGTGTCACCCAAGGCGAGCGCCACCTGCAGGAAATCAGGGTGGGGACAGCCCTTGGGGCCCGTCCCTGCTCTCGTGAGTCCCCCCAACCTTGGCTTGTCCAGGCTTTGTTTCTCGAGGAGGGGGCGCTGGGGGAGACTGGCCGCACGCATCAGCTGTCGGGGCCGGCTGCCAGCCCGTTTGGTGCTTTTTCCTCTAAGGAGAGCCCAGCCCAGGGCCCTCGGCCGTCCGCACCCTTCCCCAGCCCCTGGCCCCGGCGGGCCTTTCTCCTGAAAGTGAAAATCCTTTTTTTTTTTTTTTTAAGATTTATTTATGCACAAAAGAGCTGGGGTACAGGCCAGAGGTGTGGGGGGTGAGAGGATTCACCAGAGACAGAGTGGGGAGCAGAACAGGCAGTCTGACTGAAACCCACTGCTGAGGGGAGCAGCGGGGAGTCAGGAGAGTCTGCCGCGCCCTGTGGGTAGCTCCCTGGCCGGGGATGGAACTCGTGCTGCAGGGGCTGTGGAGCTTCACAGCGCTGAGACTAACCCTTTGCGCCACCAGGGAGGCTCAAAAATCCCTTTTGTCTGTGGGAAAAAACTCATAAAAAAAAAAAACCAGAGGCAGAGAGCATGGGGGGGCCGATGGGGGGGCTCCGAGTCCACACAGGAGGACAAGAGCCGCTTCCGGTCCTGTCAGCGCCGCCTTCTTTCGGTCACCACTTAGCAGTTTGGAGACTGCTTCACTGAAAGGCTCATTTATCAGGGGGGCAGGGGCAGCAGGCCCTCGGCCCAGCCCCTCCTCACCAGGGGCCCGGGAGGCCGTGTCAGGGGGCCGGGCACAGCCAGGCCTGGCCCGCGAGCAGGGAAGGGGAGCCGGCTCCAGGCTGGGCACTGGGATGGGCTGCGCGCCCCGGCTCCTGGCAGGTTCTATGGAAAATGGAGCTGCCTTCGAGTGCATTGTGTTTTGTGGTAAAACCCGATCTCACGGCTGGAGGAATGTGGGGGGATTTGAAACTTCTGACCCTTGGCTGGATTGTTTGTCCGTCCAACGTGTGCTGGTGGGGGGGGGCAGCTCTCCCCACCAGCCGAGTCAGGTCCCCGGTGGCTTCCCCGGGCGCCCAGGACACCCCAGGGCTGAGCGGGGGCAGCTCCGGGCTGCTCACAGGCCTCCCAGAGACAGGCTCCTGCTCGAGCTGCCGCATGGCGGTCTGGGGGCCGCAGCAGGGGCACAGCGAATGCGGGGCGGGGTGAGGGGGAGGACCACCCCGCTCTGACTCCCTCGCCCCCACTGTGCAGCCCGAGACGTGGCAAGCCTGTGAGGCCAGGCCGAGCCTGGCATCCCAGGCCGGCCCAGCACTGCTGCCCCCGCACCTCCTCCTGCCGCGGCTCACCTGCTTCCCCGGGCGAGAGAAGGAGGCGTCAGGCTGAGACGAGAACGCCGGCGCTGGGCTCGGGTAGGGCGGCGTCCCGGCGCTCAGGCACAGTCAGGGGGTCCTGCGGAGTCACCCTCCGCGCTCGGCTTCCCTGCCGGGCTCGTCCGCTGTCGGGTGGGGGAGCGCCGCTCCCGGCTGCTCTGCCCCGCCACCCCCTGCCCCTCGTGGGCCCCGCATGCGGTCTGCAGACAGGGAAGGACGGGCGGGAGATGAGGCGCCAGGACCCAAGACTGGGCCCGCCGGCTCCCCTGTCCAGACCACTGGCCTCTGGCGCCTCCTGCCCGGAGAGCTGCCCGGCTCCCCACCCCAGCACCCCGCTGGCATTTAGGGGCCCGGGAGTGGGGACCCCGCCAGGCTGGCCTGGCTGCCCTTGCGCCTCGGCCCCGAGAGCCCCACGGGACGCGCGGCTGTCTGGTCAGACGTCCGCCTCGGGCTGCTGCGCGCCGCCGGCCCCGCTCGGGTCTCTGAGGCGCGGCTGAAGCCGGTTCTCCCCGGAGAGGCGACGCGCCTCGGCTGGGCGGGGGCGGGGGGGGGGGCGTGCAGGGCCTGGCACAGGCTGAGCCTCTGCTCGCGCCGCCGCAGCAGCAGAGAGGTGGGCGCGGTGGGGGCAGCGGCGGAGAGGGCGACCCGGTGGGCCGGGCGGGCGGGGACCGCGGGCTGCCGGGACCGGGCGCGTCTGTCGTGTTCGCGGCGGGCCAGGGCCGGGCGCTCCGCTCAGCCCCACAGGCCGCTGAGGGCCGCGGAGGCCGGGTGGGCCTGGACGGGAGAGGCCCGGCCTGTCTCTACGACGTCTCTGGGAGGCCCCTCCGGTCCCTCCCGGGTGCCCCGAGGCGAGGCGAAGGCTGGGGCAGGGAGGCTCGTGCCCGAGGGTGCCCAGGCCCGGGCAGCGCAGCCCCGATGCCCCCCGCATCTCACGGCCGCGCGGGGAGCGGCGTCTGCCGGGCGGGTGCCCGGGTGTTCCCCGCGGCCCGCATCCCACGGCCCGGGCAGAGGAAGAGGCAGGACGGACTAAAAATAGGCCCGGCCCCGGTCACGGCTTTCCAGGGGCCTCGGCGCTCGGAGACGGGAGGGGGCGGTGAGCGCGGACGTTCCGTTTCTAGACGGCAGAGCCCGGCTTCCTTGCTCAGGGGAAAAGGTGTTTAAAGCAGATAAATCACAGGAGAAAGGCAGGTTGTTGAATCTGCGCTGTCAGGGGGACAAGCAGGCGGCACCGCTGCGGCGGGGCTTTGATGTGGGCGTTTCTCTGTGCTCTGTGGGGCGCCGCCCCGGCTCCCCCTCCCCCCAGCACCGTCCTCACCTGCAGCAGCGCCCCCGGCTCCGCCACCATCGCTCCCCCAGCAGCCACCGTTGCAACAAGCCGCAGAGTCAGCGGTGACGGGGCTGCCAGCGGGTCAGGCGGCGCAGGCCCCGAGCCCCTCCCTCTGCTGCTGGCCGCACAGCCGCAGGCGCCCAGGGCCCGGCATTCTACGTACCCGCTGCCGCGTCACCTCTGTCCCGACCTTGCAAGTCAGTTCCAGCTGCTTCCCGCGCGCCCGGCCCCAGCCCGGCTGAGCGCCCTCGGCCCGGCCTCCACTTCCCGGCTGGTTCCGACGGGGCCAGCCCAACGCGGGGCTGCGGGGCGCCCTTCTAGCAGGGTGGGAAATGCAGCTTCTTCGCGAGAGCGCGCGACTCGGCCGGGCCGCTGGGCCATGCTGCCAGGAGAGGGGCTGTGGAGCGCGCCGGCGGGGGGCACAGGTGCCAGCCGGGGTGCGGGCCAGCCAGGGCCTGGGGGCGCCCTCTCGACATGCGGGCGCGTCCTGCCGCCGCCGGGGTCTGCAGCGCCGCCCGGCCAGCAGCGACTGCCACGGAGCACGAGCGACACCAGCAGTTTTCGGGAAGACGGCAGCGTGCGGGCACCCTGGGCCACCCCGAGCTGTGCCCCTCGGGGCCCACGTCAGAAGGCAGCGACACACTGACACGCGGTCTCGGGTCACCCGCCTGGCCGCGCCCCGCCGTCGGGCGCCAAAACGGACGAGATGAGGGGGCCCTGGCGCCCACTTTCACCGTCTGTCAGATGCGCGCTGTGCCGACCGCCGGGGACGGTGATGGTGACTGTGGTGATGGCCATGAGGGCGACGGCCAGGGCCGTAGAGATGGCGGTGGGGCGGCCAGCGCCCGGGGTCAGGCCAGCGCCCAGCCCATCGGGCACCCCGGGGACGGCGGGTCTGCAAGCCCAGAGCAGGAGAGAGGATGCATCCCACTGCCTCCTGCTCTGCCCCGCCCGCTGCTGCCCTTCCCCGCCTCCCTCCCCCACCTGGGGACAGACAGACAGACAGGCAGGCAGGCAGAGAGACAGGCAGGCAGAGAGACAGACAGAGAGACAGACAGAGAGACAGGCAGGCAGGCAATCAGACAGATAGGCAGGCAGACAGGCAGGCAGGCAGGGAGATGGATAGGCAGGCAGGCAGAGACAGGCAGACAGGCAGGCAGACAGACGGATAGGCAGGCAGACAGACGGATAGGCAGGCAGGCAGACAGACAGACAGACAGGCAGACAGACAGGCAGACAGGCAGACAGGCAGGCAGGCAGACAGACAGACGGATAGGCAGGCAGGCAGACAGACAGACGGATAGGCAGACAGACAGACGGATAGGCAGGCAGGCAGACAGACAGACGGATAGGCAGGCAGGCAGACAGACAGACGGATAGGCAGGCAGACAGACAGATGGATAGGCAGGTAGGAAGACAGGCAGGCAGACAGACAGACGGATAGGCAGACAGGCAGGCAGGCGGACAGATGGATAGGCAGACAGACAGGCAGACAGACAGACAGACACGCTGAGCCTGTGGCTCCCGGCTGACTAGGTCAGAGCTGAGCAGCTGACTGGACTGAGGCTCAGCGCCCTTGGCACTGCCCTTCTGCCCAGCGGCCTGAGGCCCAGCAAGGAGGGACCCCCCGTGCGCCTGCCCCGCCAACCGCCCCCCACGCACCCACCCTGCCAGCCGCCCCCCCCCCCCCCCCCCGCGCACCCGCACCCGCCCGCACCGCGGCTCGCATTCCCTAGACGCGGCCGATTTATTTCCCGTCCTCGGGAAGGGACATTTCTGAATCCTTCCGGGGGTTCCCATTAAGCTCCTGACAAATGAGACGGCGGAGGGCCCGCAGCCCCCGCCCGCCCAGGGTGGGATACAAACGTGCCCTCCGCCTCCCGGCCGGGTGAGCCGCAGCTACCCAGGCCCCGGCCCCCCACGGCAGCGGCCAGCCCGGCCACACAGGCGCCCTGAAGCCCAAGACACCGCCACGCCCCCCGGCACGCGGCCGGGCCTCTCTGAGGGGCCGAAGTCTCCCGGCCGCCGGACTGGCAGGGCCTGGGATGCGGGGCCGCGCCGCTGGGCCTGCCCCGGGCTCAGCCCCCACAGGTGACCGGGTGGCCGTGGGGCGTCCTGCAGGCTTTCTCGTCAGCAGCGCTGGCTCCTCCCGGCACGCACAGACAGGGCCCTGTCCGGGCCCCGGGATGCCCTCGAGCTAGGCGAGAAGCCGGGGGGCGGGTCTGGCGTCGGGCGAAGACGGCTCTGGCGAGGCCGAGGGAGTGGGAGGCCGGCTCCCCTTGCAGCGGTCGCTGCGCCTCGCTCAGCGCGGCCCATGGCAGGGAGGGCCAGGGGCTCCCCCAGGCTGCCCCACTGCTCCGGGGCGAGGGTCAGGGCGCCCCAGAGCGCTGTCTCAGGCTTGCGCCCCTGAGGGGACCCTCATCCCCTGATGATTCCACAGAGCAGGGGGCCAGGGCCGAGAGGAGGCTGGAGCCCCGTGCGCAGCCCGCACTGCCCCCCGGAGGCCCCGCCAGGCCTGCGGCCCCCCTCAGCACAGGAGACCTGGCTGGGCCCCGTTTCTGCGGGGCCGCTCGCAGCTCCCCCAGGTTCCCGCCCAGGCCGCCCCGCTTGGCTGAGGAGCCCCCAGCAGCCAGGGCAGGTCTGAGGCTCCTACTCTGCGGGCATGGGGAGCAGGAGCCCCACCACTGCCCCCGCATGCGAGTGGCTCCCAAAGGGCCTGCCCTGTCTCCCAGGCCCGCCCCTGCTTCCAGAGCCACTGTGGGCCACGGGAGGTAGCACCCCACCCCACGCAGCCCCCCACACCTCCCCCCGGCTTCAGGGAGCAGAGGTCGCGATCCTCCCCGAGAGTTGAGGGCCAATGAGCCCACACTCCTGTCCGGGGAGGACCTGGTGCCCCATTCGCCTCTTCTCCAGCCCAAGCAAACCAGGGACCCCGCCCTGCCGAGGGCGCTGTGCCCTGCGTGCACCCCGCTCTTGCCAAGGGTCTCTGGCTCTGCCCCCAATGTGGCTGGGTCGTGTGCCCCGCTGGCACCCCGAGACCAGCGTCTTCTGTGCTTGTTGGCCGCAAAGCCACAGGCACTGGGTCCCCCAGTGAGTGCGGGTGGGGGTGTGGAGGGGCTGCAGGCCAGAAGGCAGTGGCAGGCGGGCAGTGGCCAAGGGGCGGCCTCCTTTTGGGGTGATGGAGTGTTCTGGAAGTGGACAGAGGTGAGGGCTGCCAGGCTGCTGAGCGCCGAGGGCCCACACGGGCTGCCAGAGGCTAGAGCGGCTGTGCGCCGTGGGGCTGCGAGGGCTCCCGGGTGCCCTTAGGCCCCCCCAAGGCGCTGCGCTTCTGGCTGGACCTGCCCCAAGGCTTTCAGGGGTCTTCCTCAGGCGCCCGCTGTCTCCTTGCACCCCCGCGAGTGGGGGGCTGCCCGTGGCCTCACCAATCCAGAACCCGGGCAGCCGGGAGGTGCCCCTAGGTCACCCCCAAACACAGCCGCCCCGATGACCTGCGCGGCTCCCGTGGAAGCTGGAGCCGGGAACGGTGTCAGTGGGCGGCCATGCGGGCACCTGGCTCGGACACCCTGCGCTGCGCTGCAGGCGATTCTTTGGGCCAACGCCGTTCCCGGCCTCCCCGGATTCCCAGCTCGCTCGTCTGCTGGGCCCATGTCGGCCTCACGCATCTGCACGTAAAACTGAACTGTCCTGAGGGCTGGGAGGCCGGTCCCGCCCCGATGGGGACAGGCAGCCTGACAGATGGCCGGGCCTGCACGGCCGGGGTGGGGGGACCCCGCGTGGACGAGGCTGCAGAGCCGCACGCGGTGACTCTGGTGCTAGAAGCAACACCCCGGTCGTGAAGGCCCAGCTCCTCCTGCCTGGCCGCTCCTCCATCCCGTCATCCCGCCTGGCCGCAGCGCTGATGCGACACTAAATACACTGGGCGGCTGGGGCAGCGCCCCATTTCCCCGTCTGCCCCTGGCACCACTTGTGGGGAGCAGCACCCCAGGGGCAGCCTCCAGACAGCAGGGCTTGGGGGAGGGGATGAACACGTTTGTCGCCCAAAAGGGGAACAGAGTGTTATCTTAAGACCCAGGAAGAGGAGCAGGTTTTGTTTTATTATTTACTTATGTACACAAGAGCTGGGGTACAGGCCAGAAGTGGGGGGGGGGGGGCTGAGAGGACTCCCCAGAGACAGAGTGGGGAGCAGAACAGGCAGATCTACTGAAACCCACTGCTGAGGGGAGCAGCGGGGGGACAGGAGAGTCTGCTGCGCCCTGTGGGTCGCTCCCTGGCCGGGGATCGGCTCGGGCTGCAGTGGCTGCCGCCAGCCTCACAGTGCTGAGACGTGACCCCTGCGCCGCCAGGGAGGCGTGGACACAGGTTTTGATTCCCTGTTCCTAGTACCCAACTGGTAAAATTTTCTGGGAGCAAAATTTAGATGTTCTCTAGCCGTATTCAGGGGTGCTTCCCTGACCCTCCCGTCCTACCACAGCGCAGGTCGAGTCTTCATTTCCTGCACGTCTCTGAGCCGCCCAAGAGAAGAGGGGACAGCAGAGGGGACAGCAACGCTTTCTGGACCATGAGCCAGGTCTGCCCGCACCCCACCTCGCGACAGCTGCTGTAACCAGCGCCCAGGGAGGCCCCTGACAGGAAGCACCGAGACCAGCGTCGCCACCACAGCCCACGCCGTCCCCGACGTCCACCATCACTGTCCTCGCGGCGCCGCCCTGACCCACATCCCTCTCCACCCATCCCCGTCGCTCCGCTGCGGCCCCTTCCACGGCCGGCGCCTTCTCCGGCATGGCGGCTCCCCTGCCCGCGCCTCCGGGACCGTCGCGGTCACGACGCCGCCACCCCGTCAGGTCACGCTGGCACCGCCCTCCTCGCCAGCCTGCTGCCACCACAACGCCATCACCACCTTCCCTGCGCCCCGGTCACCGTCATCGCCTCCGGCCCCGACCCCGGCGCCACGGCCCTAGCGTCATGCCCTCATCTCCGTGCCGGCGGGAAGGGCAGGTGTCGGCCACGAGAACGTCCCT